CACTGCTTAGGCGCACAAGAGAAGGTCAGATTGTAAATGGGTATCTACTGTGGAAGGTCCAGACTCAGTTATGCTCCTTCATTGCTCCCTTTACAGAACACACCACCCCGGAAGTGGTTAGCTGCAAAGAAGGGGTCATGTTACTTCTCTTGAAGGCATGTGCTGATGAATATATACATCTTTAGGGTACCAGCAGTGGTTGAGGGAGAGTCACTCCTGAGCTTGACCTAATTAATACAGCTACACGCTATCCACAGAGCAACAGCTGAGTTCCAAGTGACCTGTACATGTGTATACCATAAGTGGGAGGGATGAGAATAGAGCCCAAGAGTCCTGATCCACAGTCTCCCTCCTTATCTCCTCCATCCTCTCCTCCCAGTCTTTAGTGTAAACCATATACAGGATCATTAATGTGGTCTCGATACCTTCATGTGGTCTTTGGATCCATAAACGAATGAATGAATTACATCTAATCATGTGTGTCATTTCTCCTGTATGACAAATGTATGGATATTTAAAATATTTTAATCTTAATATTTATTAATATTCATCAAGTAGTAATAATCCAAGCATAATGTAATGTAAGTTTCTGATACCTGAAAAGTGTTCTTCATATTACTTAATTGATTCAGGTTTGAGAAATTGCTTATATGAAAAAGTGAGAATACATTCTGGTCAAGTAAACTGTAATGCTGAGTTAACTGTTATATGACTGTCACTGTGGGAACAGGATATGAAAAATGACAGCAAATAAGGTATTTTTCTTGCTATTCATATGTTGACTAAATTCATGTAATGCTCTGTACAATTACTGTAATACTCTTGGTTAAAAAACAAAAGTCAGTTTTGGATTGGATGATCAGAATGAGGCATCTGGAAGACACAAAGGTAACTGGATATGTGTGTAGGTTAAACACTGACTATGTAGACTAGAAAAACAGAATTCTGAAGATGGTTTTAGATGGGAATTTCATATGAAAGTATAGAATACAGTGGGGAAAAAAGTCTGCTTCCCTCAGGTGTGTGGTATTGACATTCTAAAGCTTTAAGATATAAAGATAGGTATTATATTCATCATTTAAAATGTCTAATGGCTAACCTTTGGTAAATGAATGAAGCAAATATTGTATGTAGGAATAAAAATTTGTGTTGACTACTTATTACTGGAGCCATTTAGCACATCAGATGTCATTGCAGATTATCAGTTTCATTTCAGTTGGACTGGAAATAAATACAGATCAGTAATAATGTAAGGCTATGTACCTTAAGGTTAAATATTTGACATCCAGACTGGTGCTAATGGACTATGACATTTTTCAAGCCTAGGTCTGACATTACTTGTTGTGTCAGAATGAAATGTTTGTCTAACTCGACATTACAATACATTAAGACATTCTTTCTTTCTACACTGTAAGTTATCCTAGTACATTTAAATTTCAAACAAACAACTGACCCAAATGTAAAAGAAACTTTTTCCAGAGTCTGAAAAGTTATAAACAACATAGTAACAGAACTTGATCCAGTCCAACATGTCTTGTATTATTTCTGTTCAGTGTATCATGAGTTAAACATGTGTTTTATAGGTGAAGTACTATGAAGAACAACATAATTTGGGGTGGTATTCTTCCACCCTTGCTCATTGAGTAGTACCTTATTCTGCTTGTTGAAAAGTAAGGCTCTACTTAATGAAAATAAGGATGGCAAAATGGATCAAATGATGTATGCCAAAGATAGGAAACCTAATTCTAGCATCACTGTATCAGTCCAGTTCTTCTAGTTATGATTTTTTTAAACAATGAAGATATAAAAAGTCAAAACATTGCATTAATGTGACTTGAATGGCCAAGCTGATAAATGGCTAGGTATACCTGAGTGGCTTATAATCACATGTAAAGAATACCATAATGTATTGTGCCCTTTATTAAAATATATAATAATAATCCATTATGGGACATTTACTAAAGTATGATGTGTATACCTTCATCTCTTAAATGTTCTCTCAAATGTAGGTCTTTATTTCAAACATTTAGATGTTCCCTTTGTCCCTGGTCTGTCTTTATGTAATTTTTCAAGCTTATGTGCTAGCTTCATTATTAAAGAGACAAGGTGGGTGAGGTAATACCTTTTACTGGACCAACTTCTGTTGGTGAGAGAGACAAGCACTCTATGTAGCAGGAAAGCTTGTGTCTCTCACCAACAGAATGTGGTCCAGTAAAAGAGATTACCTCACCCACCTTGTCTATCTAGTATCCTGGGACCCACACAGCTACAATACCACTGCAGACAGCTTCATTATTGTCATTGTTCTTCTATTATATACATTATAGTGCAGGGGTAGGAAAACTTTTTGGCCTGAGGGCCACATCTGGGAATAGAAATTGTATGGAGGGCCATGAATGCTCACAAAATTGGGGTTGGGGTGCGGGAGGGGGTGAGGACTCTGGCTGGGGGTGTGGGCTCTGGGGTGGGGCTGAGGATGAGGAGTTTGGAGTGTAGGAGGGTGCTCTGGGCTGGGACCGAGGGGTTTGGAGTGTAGGAGAGTGCTCTGGGCTGTGACCGAGGGGTTCGGAGGGCGGGAAGGGGATCAGGGCTGGGGCAGGGGTGCAGGAAGGGATGCAGGTTCCAGCTGGGGGTGCGGGATCTGGGGTGAGGCTGGGGATGAGGGGTTTGGGGTGCAGGAGGGTGCTCCAGGCTGGGATCGAGGGATTTGGAGAGCGGGAGGGGGATCAGGGCTGGGGCAGAGGGTTGGGGCCTGGGGAGAGGCTCAGGGGTGCAGGCTCCAAGCAGCGCTTACCTCAAGTGGCTCCCGGAAGCAGTGGCATGTCCCTTCTCTGACTCCTACTCAGAGGCGCAGCCAGGCAGCTCTGCACGCTGCCCCATCTACAGGCACTGCCCCTGCAGCTCCCATTGGAGTGCCGGAGGGAGTCATTGGAGCACGTAGGAGCCGGAGCGGGTCCATGCCTCGGCTTCTGGGAGCCACGTGGAGTGGCCCCCGACCCTGTGCCCCGGCTAGAGCGCCACAGTGGCCCCCGACCCAGCACTCTGGCTGGAGAGCCAGAGCGAGGCTAAGCCGCACGGTGTGGCCCCCAACCTGGTGCCCCGGCTGGAGCACCAAAGTGGGGCAAGCCTAGACCCCATTCCCCAGAGGGAGCTCACGGGCCGGCTTAGGCCCATGGGCTGTAGTTTGCCCACCCCTGTTATAGTGTATCTATGCACTACTTTACTCTTATTTGGGGAATTTCTCTGCTCCCATTACTAGGGCAAGATTAAGCAAAATGAATGTTCTTGCTAATACAATTTTCCTCAGAGTGTACTTGAATAAGTTGAATTTGTGTGTGTGTGTGTGTGTCTAGAGTGTACATATCAAAGCTGCAAAATTTAAATTTAATGCGAACAGATAGACAGTATGGTGACAGCTATTGCTATTCAGAATATTGAAAACATCCAATGATAGAATTATGCTTCATCCATTTTACAGTAAATTCTGTGGGAATATTGAACCCATCATAGAATATACTTAAAATGGAAATGTTCAGTTTGATCAACTTCTAAATCAATAACCAATAAATCTATAGTTTTGTCATGCTGTGACCTATTCTTAATATAAGATGTTATTTTTCAGTTCAAAATACAATCCTTTGGAAAAGTGTAAACAGGAACAGAGATCAAGTGAAAAGCAACGCAAGCTGCGTTTTGCTTGGAAATACACCATCAGGTACTCAAATGTGATGTTTTTTAATGTAGTTCTGTTCAATTATGTATGTGCTTGTCACAACTGAAAACACAGACCCTATATTGAGAACATCTGCCCTTCATTGAATCACAACTTAATAATTGCTGCTTTTAGTTTCCCGTAAGGCCAGGTGCGGGAGAGCAAGGCCATTTCCCCTCTATCAGTGTCTTGGTTTAACATTACAGCACTTAAGTTTCACAAAGGGCAGAGAGGGTTAGAGCTCTGAAAATCCTCAGCACTGGCCCTGCCTTGATGATCAACGTTCAGCGTAATGCCAAAGTGGCTCGTTTGGAAGCTATTTGCAGGAGACACTAGCATATTCAAGTATCAGAGGGGTTGCCTTGTCAGTCTGTATCCACGAAAACAAGGAGGAGTCCAGTGCCACCTTAAAGACTAACAGATTTATTTGGGCATAAGCTTTGGTGAGTAAAAAAACCCCATTCTTCAGATGCATGGAGTGAAAATTACAGATAGAGGTGCCATGCATCTGAAGAACTGGGTTTTTTACCCACGAAAGTTTATGCCCAAATAAACCTGTTATTTTTTAAGGTGCCACTGGACCCCCTCGTTGTTTTAGCGCATTTAGTGCAATGTAACCTGTCCTGAAAGGGCGCTCGCCACAGCCCTTCTCTTAAGAACCTCCCGCAAAGTAGCCCCAATTCCAGTATAGACTCTCGTGGCAGACGAAGAGTCCAGCTCTGACCCGTGGCCGGTCAGTGGTGGGGGGTGGGTTGTACGCTTCCCCCCCCAAGCCAGCGGTTGGCGCGGGCGTCTTGTCTTAGCGCAGGGCAGGGCTCCCTGCTGCTGGCGTGCATGGGGCGAGCTGGCTGTGCAGGCGCGCGGCTCGCTCGCTGCCCGCCGGCTGCTGAAGTTGGAGAGCCCGGAGCGCTCGTGCTCCGGGTGTTTTCGGGCAGGGGGGAGGGGGCCGGGCGCGCGGCGGCCGTTCGAGATGGAGCGAGCCCCGGAGAGCCCCCGCGCGCCCCGTGCCGAGGAGGCGGTGCTGCCGCCTCTCTGCCTGTGACTGGCCGGCGGCGCTGCCTCTCAGCCCCGGCAGGGCGGGGAGGAGGCGAGCGGTGTAAACAGGGAGGGAGGGGGGCTGGCTTGATGTCAGCGGGTCACATGGAGTCTCATATGGGCCGGGGGAAGGAGGCGGTGGCAGGCTGTCAGCTGGCAGGCAGCAGATGCTGCTGAGGCGGTGGTACAAGAAGAGGGGCCCGGCCAGCGCGCACCCAGCCCATCCCGCCCGCCCGCCCTCGGTGCTCTGCTCCCCGCCGCGTCGCCCCTGACAAATGATGTGTTTTGTGATCGCCGCGATGAAAGGTAGGCGCAGCCCTGAGACGAGCCGCCGCGCCGCGCGGGGATGGGCGCTCGCCCCGCCGGGGAGCTGGGCGCACGGGGCCGGCCGGCGAGCGGGTATGCTGGGGGATCGGGGCGGGGAGTGCCACGGGCAGCTCTCGGGTGGTCGAGTTGCTTGTGACTTGTTCCCCTTCCCGAGGCTTTGCCTCGGCTTGGGTGGCTGAGGGGGGGAGTTGGTGAGGGCTAGTCCCGTGCCCAGGGAGCGCTGCTCGGCGCGACGATCCCGTGCTGGCTCCTCAGGGGTGACTGCCCTTTGGAGCTGGTGCTGCTTCACCGCGCCCCTCTGACCCACCCTAGGACAGACCTTGCTGAGAGGTTCCGCTTGGCGTCTCCCCTTGCCGAACGCATCTAAGATCGCTGTGACCCCCCTTCTCCGCCCCCGGGCAGCCTGCAAATTCCGGGTTGTTGTGTGGAGGATATATCCCCTAGCGCCTGCCCTGCTTCTGGACTGGCTCGTCAGTTACCTTTCTCGGCGAGGGGGACCCGTCTGGGCCAGTTACTGCCGAGCGGCGGCTATTTCTTATTAATCCTTACAGCTGAAGTAGCTCACACTGGAGTGTGTCATCTACCGCTTCTTTTGGTGTTTGCTTTTGGTTTGATTTAGAGCTAATCACGTAGTGAAAGTGACCAGGCACGTGCGGAGAGGTTCCTTTTTTGTTTTTTCCCAGACCAGCTGTGTGCTTAGAGAACTGAACTTTATACTTCTACATAAAAGTTGGAGGATAAGAGAGAGCTTATCTGCCCACATGATTTGCAGAGGGAGAGGTTATGATTAACATGGTTGGGATTGCATAAAGCAGAGACATGCTGCATAATCCTTATAAAATCTGTCTCTAAAATTTTACAGGAAAACATACTTCTGATAGAAAGGAAGAGAGAGTGTGTGGTGTCCTGTAGACAGTTTGTGTGGGTACAAATGACAGGCTCAAAAAGCTGTACATTTTTAATGAGGTTTTGGTTTGAAAGGAAAAGTGAGCATTATGAAATGACACTTGAAAATCTGACACTTTCTCTGCTTTCAAATCCCAGTCCTTCCTGAGGGACAATGAAGGATTGGGGAGAGTCAGAGGAAGTTTTTTGATGAGAAATGAAAAGTTTAAAGGTATGTTTTCAAATAATTTGTGGTGTTTTCTAATATAATGGGATCCATAGATAAACTATGCACTGCAGCATATTTTTAAATCAAGAAAACAATAAAAAGCACATATCTAAACATTGTAACCCTTCTATTTAACTAGGACCTTCTTTCTCTGTAATCCAGTCTTTGTAAATTTATTAATTTAGTTTCCCAACTAAAAATACTAAGCCTTTTTTTTGTACATGGATCTCGTTTAAAAAGGAACTATTTGAAATTGAATATTTAATGATGATCCTATTAGAGACTGAAATGTATGCTTGATTGTGTCTTTTACTTTGCAAATGCACTAAGTGAAAGACACCAGTGTGCAGTGGAATTTACAGTTGCTAAGCTTCTGACTCTCTTTTTAACAGAGAAGACTAGGTAAATAGAAAGATAGTACTATCCATTAATCATTAGCATCTCTAAATTAGGTTGACAATAGACTGTAACCAGGTTGATCCAAAATATTTGTTTCTGTGACAAAAATAGTATAATTTGAGAGTGATTTATAGGGAATTATAACAACTCTTCAAAACTCTGCAAGTTGTACTGACAAAATACTGTTTTTACGTATCCCTCTGCAAACATGTAACCAAATAGGAAAAACTGAATGCACACTGAGGAATATATCTTTAGGATATAAATCACTTAAGAATGCTTTTGGAAGAAACATAATGGAACATTGTAAGATGACAGTAAGATGATTTTGAAAAACTCAGCGTCTGAACTCCAGAGTTATCTACTTCCCTGGTTTTTGGGCTTCATTAAGCAATTTTCCATACAGATGTAAAACTGGTAAAGCTTAGCTTTTGTGCTTACAGAATGTGGTTATAAAATGGTTTTATTTCATAACTATTTGGGTTGATGTTTGCTCTTTTTGTAATGCGAGGCATATTATTTCTCTGGTAAGTTTAATTGAAAGTTCACAGTAATCTTTTATCTATCAATAAGTGTATTGATTACTTTAACAGTTTTTCACTAGTGACTTCTGTATGGTTTGTTGGATAAGCTTCAGAAATAGGAAATGTATTTTAATATTACCCTCTTTTGGTATTGAAGGTTTCAGTGTACAGATGTATTTTGCTTTTGTGTTGTTATTACCAAAGTGGTGTTCCATATTAACATTGACAAATAGATTAATCAAAATCACTATTTTTTTTCTTTCCAAAGCCCATAGCTCTTGCTTACACATTTGTCTTGGGTGACCTCTGGCTGCCGTGAAATAATAGATCCACAGTATTGTGCTTTAAGAGAAGTAGACCAGAAGCACTGGGAATACAGTTTTTGTATGAGCTCAAATGCACACGGGAGAAACAGAATAAGTCTAGGTGATTAGAATATTTTATTTAGTCCTGATGCTGTAATATCACTTTGGAGATATGTGATCATTTATAGTTGCTGTGAAGTTAAGGTGAAGAAAATGATGGTTTGTGGGAGAATATGAAATGTTACAAATTTCCGAACCAGATTTTTTTAAAAGTGACGCAGAAACATATTAAATTCTTCCCTTCTGTTCTTCAATTCTGATTACTCAAATTGACTTCATACGAAAAGAATTGTGTGTGATTGTATTTTTCATGCAAAACAAATGCTCTGTCAAACATAATTTATTTCATTCTGAAATATACAGAGATTTCTAATGTGTGTATATAGGGATTTGGAAGAATTAAAAAATATGGTTAACTGTCAGCATGTTGATAGCAACACTGGTACATTCAAATAACTTGTAAGCCAAGGCACAGCCAATGAAAAGGGGATGGATTATGTCATTAAGATAGGTTGCCCTATGTGAAATGTAACTTTCTGGTTTCAGCTTGAGGGGAAAGCTTTCTATTTTTGGAAATAAGCAGCTGTGAAACATTTCTGTCCATGATGTTAGAGGAAATATTTTGTGGATTGACTGATTTTTTTTTTTTAATTTTTAATTTTTTACTTTTTATGCACCTCCACAAACTTTTAAAAGTTGATTAAGCAAATCTTGTAATGTATGAATATACTCAGGCTATATTTTTTTATTTAAGAAAAGAGTGCAGTTTTAAGTATTTGTCTTATACCTCTGTTTAAAAAAAGAAATAAGACATGCTTTTCCTGAGTAGATGAATCCTTGGGTGAATCTGAATATTTGTTGTTCCTGATCCTACGCACATTAGCATTTTGCCGTTGACTTGACCAGGAGCAGGACTCGGTAAAATACTCTGCACCAGATTTGTCTCATTGACAAAATGTCATAACTAGGAATGGGTCCAAGCCAACTGTGCTGAATTTGGCTTTCACAGCCACTTTGGGATAACTTTGTACAAGTGAAAATGACTATCTACGGTGCAGGGCAGTGGTGAATCAGGCCCAGTGTTAAAGGGAGTTTAGAGTGCTAGTACGCCACTGAAAGTGCTTAGCTGGTAGTATCATCAGGCCCCTACATAGCAGAGTTCTGCATGCTGGACAAATTAGTATAGCTTCAGTAAAAACGACCCTAGAAGTATTTTACTAGGTTTGGGTTGGAGATTCACAAATAGAGGATCCTAAAGGTATGTGGGACATTAAGTGTATAATTTTTCCAACTTCTTTGTATTGGACATATATTTATTAGTAACAAAACACTGAAGCACTTCATATAAATTATTGGTACAGACTTTTACTGTTCAGGCATAAAAAATACAAAGCAGAATTTAAAACAAACAAGCAAAAACTCCTGGGTTAAATCGGTTGTAATATTGTTAGAAATCAAATAAGTGTTAAGAGTTTATGGTTTAACCATGGAAAGATATGGCTCTGATTTTGGGTGGCTTATATATATAGGATATATCTTTGAGCATGTGTACTGTTAATGATTTTAAAGTATTATCCATTTAAATAAATACATTTTATTGAAGGCCTGTGGGTTTCCTTATTAGTGCCGATGTTTGTTTTTGTTTAATGGCTGCCTGTCGTAGCACAATCTGTGTATATTTGTTGACAGGATCTTAGCGTTCCCTGAGCTTCCTTTGCTTCTGCTGACTACAATACCCTTTGTTTCACAAGATTGGACCCAACAGGCTAGCTGAACTGATCACTGTGGTTGAGCTTTCCTGAAGCTATCGAGTCTGACCTCTTGAGAAGTTCTCAGTCACATTTGTTGGCATTGACCTACTGACTATGAGGCCTTTCTGGAAGGAGGATGTGTTCTTTGCTAGTAAACCACTATGTACGAGTAAATTTTAGATTTTTACGCCTGTTTTAACTTGCTATGCAACTTTACTGCTGATGGAAAGTCAAAGCCTGCTCTAGTGAGCACTCTGAGGGTATGTCTACACTACGGGATTAATCCGAATTTAGATAATTCGAATTTGGGAAACAGGTTGTATAAATTTGATTGTGCACGGCCACACTAAGCACCTTAATTCGGTTTTTAACCACATTAATTCGGTGGTGTGCGGCCACACTACCCCATTAATTTAAACACAGTAATTCGGTGGTGTGCGGCCACACTAACCCTAATTCGAATTAACAAAATCGATTTAGGCGCTACTCCGCTCGTCGAGGTGGAGTACAGAAATCGATTTTAAGTGCCCTTTAATTCGAATTAACTGGCTCTGTAGTGTGGACGGGTGAAGGGTTAATTCGGATTAACGCAGCTAAATCCGAATTAAAGTCGTAGTGTAGACCAGGCCTAATACAGAACTCCTGTTGACATCAATGGGAGTGCCACATGTGGAGTGGTGGCAGGATCAGGCCCATGGAATTGGCAGCTGAGAGTTTGTCTATTTTCTTGGAATATTAATGAATATAGCTGTTCTGACAGATCTTCATTTACCTAAGTCAACATACTTGTTACATTATGTTGGCAGTGCCAGACTGATCTTGAGGT